AGGTCTATGTATGGCTGCGATAAACATTGCATGATTCCACATTCAAGCTTCTGTAGAAACGCCAGTCACTGCGTCTGTAGGAGAGCTGATACCAATATAATCTAGCACTGGCTTCAAATTAAAGATGTGTGGTCTAGATGCATTTTTTAAAGCATGTTTTATATGACTACGCCATCATAGAAGTCATTAGATAAAACCTCGTTACGGAGCGAGCGAAGCGAGCGTAGTCTTTCCTTAGATTAACGGAAATTTCTGAGTATGAGCGGCCGGCCGGCCGTGCGGACGCTTTTGCGAGGCTTATATCTCAGCAACCACTTGACCGATTTACATGCGGTAAATTTTGTAGGGTAGCTTCATTCCTTCTACCAAGTATTGGACTATTCCCGATGCATGTGGGTGACCCCTTATGCACGTGCCACGTGCAAAACGAAGAGGTGTCAGTTTTGTAATTGTTGCAATATCTCGGTAACTACTTGGCCGATTGCGCTGAAACTTGGCATGTAGGTAGGCACCCACTAGGCACTGCATATCCATGTGCCAGAGTTGGGGTGCTGCTGCACGTGCGCACGTGCAGGGGTCGTTTCCAGATCTCGAGAACGGCTCGACCGATTGCGCTCAAATTTGGTACACGGTTAGGGACCAGTTAGTAGGGTGCCGTGCACAAGTCAGTTGGGACCCATTTTGCACGTGCGCACGTGCAGGGTGCCGCTCCCAGATCTCGAGAACGGCTGGGCCGATTGTGCTCAAATTTGGCACATCGCTAGAAACCGGTCAGTAGGGTGCCGTGCACAAGTCAGTTGGAGGTACCCCTCGAAATTTCGCACGTGCAAGACTCACCCCCTCGCTCGCTCCGTTAGTCGCCCCAAAAGGCGTTATACTGGTTTTAGCCAAGCCATTCATTCAGTCACGACTAAAATCAGTATAAGCTGGAAGACGGCATTTATGCAGACAGCTAGTTCGCTAAAATTATACTGATTATCACCTCGCCTTTCTGCGAAAAGGAGACTACTGAAGGGAGTTTATTGGATGGACGCTAACGCTTCGGAATTTATCAGAATATGTTCATCCAATTTGAACTGGGCTGTAAACAAGCGACCCCTGCTGACGTCATCGGCTCAGATCAACCCAATGCTCTCCAGTAGAATGATGAAGGTCTTGGCGCCGTTATTATGCAGTGCCAGGGCCATAGTTATCGACATATCACTTTGGGCGCTCGTAGAATAAAAACATTTTAATGTTGGTTTATAGTGACTTGAGCAAAACGTTCTGCTTCTGATATTCAACAATTTTTTTCTTTTTACAATCTTTCGATTTTTTCCCTGTATTCCATTTTTCATTATGCCTGTCCCGTAGCTCAGTTGCTAGAGCGTTGGACTCGCAGTAGTGAGAGCCCGAGTTCGAGTCGTTGCAGCGCTCGTTATTTCAGACTCCTGAAGGGGATGGTCTGCGGTTGGTGGGAGCAGCCGCAGCTAGTTAGTTGAAGTCAGAGCTAAGTGGCGCAGGTAGTATCCGGCTTTGAAGTGAACGTTAAACTTTGACATCTAAATTCTCCCGTTATTCGGAATTGCACGATCGGATGATAGGGGTTGGGGTCTACGCAACAAGCTCCGCTTAGCGATGGGCTCTGCCTCTGTCAATCCGTCCATTCACACATTCGAGCTAAAATTGTTTAAAGAAATAGTAACTCTGTCTCAATGCACCTAGCCAAGCGCATAGTTTGGCTCATCTGGTTAAATTAATAACATACAAAATGTTAATGTACAGACATGTGACAACAAATATGATCTTGAGATATTAAAATTTTAAACAAGTCAAAAATCGCATTTATTGGATAAAAGGTGGACATTTTTATATTTTAATTTCTATGCCAATGTCTAAAAGTTTGGTTCCAAAGTTTGGTAAGCGCGGATTGGCTTGTCGCTCGTCAAAGACTGCGCCAAGAAGATTTGCTGAGTAGATCCTGCTTCTTTACGCCCAGTCGGAAAATTCCGGGTAATTGGTAGAAGTTGAAGGCCAACACAAAGCCAGAGCGCAGCCTACCCAACTCTACGACTCCGCCTAACCATGACCGTCGCCCGCGCCATCTGCACTCGGCTGTGCAAACCTAAACCATCCCAGTGCGGGCTGGATTCTCACGTATCGAGCGCCGCAGCGAACCGGTTCAGTCTCACAACTGAAAGTTGTACAAGTTAGTTTCTCAACAGGTAAATAATTAACTATGTTCAAAAGCTATTCCGGAACTACGGAATGAAATAACGCCTCCCACAGCAAATGTCAGGATAATAGCTAAAGCAATGCAACAATAGATAAAGCAGCACGCATTAGGATTGCCAATGCATTAAATGATTATTTATTGCATTTGCATACTGCACATACCTAAGAGTCAGTATCAGCGAGTTAGAGTATAGAGCTGAAGTGGCTTGAGCGCGGCATTGTTCAAAGCCGGCTGCGATCGACAGGAGACGGCAAGTGGCCGTTGGGATCTGCTGCATATGCAGGGCGGCCCTCAGGGAGCCGCTACTGCCCGTTATCATAGTACTATAGGTCGTGTCGAGAGGCCAACACATCCCGTGCATATTCATAGCCGAGAAGCGGGCTTAGCCAGCGGCGGCGCATTGCTCGTACTCAGCCGCTGCTCGCCCCTTGCCGTCTTTATACCTAGATCTGAGAGAGAATAGGGAAACTGAGAGCGGCTAACAACAGAACAAGACCCGGAGATGGATTAGAATATAGATAACTGAGTTTAGATTGGTAATTGGTATGCTTCAGAGGCTGCTCTTTAGCATCTTTGCATGTTTTAAAATCAAGAAACTAAATGCCACAGGTAAAAGGATAATTGATGCAAGGAAAGGCGTAACAACAGGCCATCCATAACTGTCGTTATGCCATTTACACTGCAAATGTAAAGTCAGCAACCAAGAATACGCAAATGAAAGATACATATCAACTGTCAGCAATAAATCATAAATCTACTCATGAATAACAATGCCTACTCGAGGGTGGCTGAGCCAAAGTGAACTCCGAGTTAATCTGATAGAGTACGTAGGTATGGAGGACATATACCCTCAAGAAAAAGGGACAAAGCTCATAACGTAAATCAACTGATGTCGTGGAAATGTCCCGTTTTACACTTTGAAGACCTAGGGGATATGAAGCAATCTACTCTGTGACACAACTTCTGTCTTTTCTGTCGGAAGCCGCAGTCAACTCCCACGACCAAACTCGGCTAGAGCGACAGTCCTCTTAGACCAGAGCTATAGAAGCAGGGCGAGATCTCCAATTACAACTGGATCCACTAAGGTTATTGTGGTCGGGCCACAAAGTAAAAACTGATCTCGCGACCAGCTTTAGACCGTAGACGTTCCCGCGGTCACTTATATTTTTACAATGTAAGTAAGTGAATGCCACCCCGGTTTTATTTACAGCTGGAGCGAAGATGTTCAATGCTGACATTAACATTGGAACCATGAAAAATGTAATACTTCTGTAATGTAAAGCAGGGTTGTGCTCGACTCAAAAAAATTTGCCGACTCGACTCAGCATTCAACTTCAAGTGTGTTGACTCAAAATTGACTCATATAAAAAAGCTGTTGAGCGGGGGGGGGGGGGTGAAAAAATTCGGCAGCAAGGCCAGGCCTAAGCTGTTAAGCGAGGGGAGAATGAAAAGCTTATATATTTATGTTTCTAGAAAGGTGAGTCAGCTGACTCATGTTCCTAAATGTTTTTGACTCAACTCAATGTCAAAAGTTATTTTACTGACTCAACTCTGACTCAACTCAACACCTTAATATTTTTGTCCGACTCAACTCTGACTCAACTCAACAGCTCAACATTTTATCCGACTCGACTCAACCCTGACTCATTTGAGTCAGAGTTGAGTCAAATTTCTGACTCGACTCATGAGTCAAGCACAACCCTGATGTAAAGTGTCATTTTATCTTATGCTGCTTCGTCACGAATTCGATGAAAGAGTAAATACCCGGTAGGCATCTATTGTTTTTTTTTTCTATAAAGGATATAACAAGTCATTTTATATGTATAGGGCATAACATTTCTATCGTTTGCTAAAACGAAAAGCTTTGTGGACTCCAAGACGGCTTATCCTTATGAAAGTGTATCTCATCAAAGAAATAGCACTTCCTCTACATTACAATCCATATTAGCCGTTGTCACGACGGGCTATCTGGTGAATGCACCTAATCTGACCAAATCTGCACCCAAATATCTTTTACAATACAATAAATATCTTTCTATCGTGTATTTAATCGAAAATGTCTGATAGTTTGAAAAATGAGGTGTATAAGCATCTGCGCAACCCAAAATGGTAACTTTTAAGAAACACAATTAACCTAATTTGACCAAATCTGCACCTAATCCGCACCAAATGTGAACCAGATGGCCTTCGTAAAAACGGGTATTTTTATTGTTTACCTCTCGGAACATTGCACTTAGTATGCTATATATTGTCCCTATCACATCTGAGTTATAACGGTGAGAGGTGGGGGAGCGAAACACTTCAATACCGTCGCTCCAGCACTCTGGTAATGTGCGTACCTATGTGCATATTTCCTTGGACCAGGACGCATCTAATTCGCGCGAAGTCACTTCAGCGTTACAGTGGCTGTCAAGATCTAAATATTTAACGTAATCACTCACTTGACCGCAAGTGTTCAGCGTGCCTTTCTTCAACAACAATGGCGGACATTTCTAAGAGCAAAGCTTAGGCATCGTCCGAGCAGAAGGCTTGAACGTGGCGTAGCTTCTTAGCATCACCCATTATCTATTTTACAATTAATTTGCACACAGTACCTGAACACTTTTTAAAAAGCCTGAGACATCACTTTTCCAGTTGTTGTTACTTCCATTTCCAAACAAAGCAAAAATGAGCAGTACGTATAGAAATACCTATCTTCATATGCGTAACAAAAAGCTGTCTGCGGCGAGAACAACCCTAAATTTCACGAGATCCATATGCAATCGTCATCCCATCGCGTGCTCACCTTCGATCAACGCTCCAGACTGCAGCACCGACAGTTGGGCTGCACGACCACAACCAATTTCAAAGTTACCATGGCCCGGACCGCCGCCTCAGTTGAACGTTCTTCATAGTACGCTCACTCCTCAAATGCAGGCAGACGACATCCAGTGTGTCCCGTGGTTCCACTATCACCACCGTTCATCCACCAACCATTCAACACACGCTCCACCGCGGCACCACCAGGAAAAGCCACAGCTCCAGACTCCAGACTCCAGAAGCCACAGACTACCCTGAGCTGACCGGCATGGGTCGCCCCACCCTCCGCCACCCGCCGCCAGCCGGCGTCTGAGCTGAGACAGACGGTCGGGCACAGCGCGCGGCGCACCGACCGACCCGCCGACGAGGCGCGCCACACGGGACGCATACACGGCACGGAACGCATACACGGCACGGGACGCGTACACGGCACGGGACGTATGCACGGCACGGGACGCATACACGGCACGGGACGCATGCACGGCACATGGGGCTTAGACGGTGCACCGCTCTTTCTTATATGATACAGATCTCTTATCCCGCGGCCGCGCCCCGTTGAGGTCTGGCAGGTTCCACATCCTGTTGGGGGGGGGGGGGGGCAATGGGCCCCCCGTCGTATCTCCGGAACCAATAGCCGGATCGGAAAAATTCAAACGGCATTCGAAAGAGCTCATCGAGATGCACAGCACAAGATAAGATATCGATGACTTTGATATTTGACCTGTGACGTCACAGGGAGGCCAAACAAGGTCAAATCAGTCCAATTTACAATGACGATAAGTCGGTCATAAAAATGCAAAAAAAAAAATCGCAATCTTGGGTTCTTTTATCTGACGACCTGGAAGGTCACCGATTGTCTTGAAATCCTAAAAATGGGCACCACTCACTGCGTCTTGTGAGGGCACACATGCTTCTTCTTTTCCCGTCATGACCTAGCGCAATTAGGGACAACATGGTAAGGGGCGTATCGAGAGTACATGAACCTCCAGGCTCCACGAATTAAACTATTAAAACAGTTACATTTAAGGCGTACCGGTTTCGTCTATTGACTTCTTCAGCGCCGTATGAAACAAGGAAAACAAGGTTCCTTGTTTCATACGGCGCTGAAGAAGTCAATAGACGAAACCGGTACCGGGTACGCCTTAAATGTAACTGTTTTAATAGTTTAATTCGTGGAGCCTGGAGGTTCATGTACTCTCGATACAATACTTGTCCATTTATAACTACAATGGTAAGGGGCCTCCCTCTTGCCCAAGACGTGTGCATAAAACGATAGGCTTTTTCATTATACGCGAGTGCTAACGCGAGCACTGAAAAATCCTCACCAATGCAAACTTCTGAGACAGTTGACCTTGAAGATGCTCATTTTTTGCTCGACTGCTCTCTGGGTCTACGCTATTAACAAGGCCGCTTTGACCGCGAATTTAGTGAGCGTTTAAGTAGGTAGCTAAAATCCCCTTCGACCTGTGCTTGTGGGCGGAGAATCAATAGCCCGGTTATAGAGCCGACCTTGAAGGTTTTTGGTCGTTTGCCAGATGCCGCTCAGGCAGACGACAGTGAGGGACGATTAGCATTGACCGCTGGCGGAGTGGTCGCCGACTGGGCCCTGGTTATTATATCGTTAGCGATCTGCACCGGGGCCGGTAACTGCCAGGCTGTGAGGAAGGTTTTTTATCTCCGAGAGACCGCCTCACCTCCTGATGGCGTCCGTAACCATCGGCGCGGGAGCCGGGGGGGGGGGGGCAGTGGGGACAGCTTGCCCCCCCAACTCTGGGGCCGTGGGGGCGGTGCCCCCACAGCTTTGAGACGGAATACCACACTTTTTTTGCAGATGTTTTCTTTTTTTGTTGAAAAAGCCGAGGGGTGAAAAATAAGCGGCCTAAAACCGGTGAGAAAACTAGATTTGGGGGTACCCTAGGTTAATCTCTATTATGGTGTGCCCCCCCCCCCCCCAGTCGGAAAGTAGTTCCCGCGCCCCTGTCCGTAACTCCGTCTCCTCCAACATAAGCATGTGCTTTCCCGATAATTTTGTTTGATCTAAGAAAGAATATGGAAATCGTTAATCGCTTCTCTCTTTCTTTCTTATTCTCTCTCTCTCTCTCTCTCTCTCTCTCTCTCTCTCTCTCTCTCTCTCTCTCTCTCTCTCTCTCTCTCTCTCTCTCTCTCTCTCTCTCTCTCTCTCTCTCTCCCCTCTCTCTCATAATGTCAAACCTTGTTTGTATCGACACAATTTCCAACACGTTTAAAATTGAGATACAAGCTTTGAAGTGATCAACTCGCTTTTGCTCTTGCCAAAGTCAGACAGCACACTAGGTTCACCGCTACCGCAATCGGCAGTGAATGCTGAATTTGGCATAGCGGAGCTTATTATATAAAAATGGATGGAATATAAATGGATGTCTTATTAGTTTTTCTCCGTCCTAGCAGACCTTTAAATTTTCAAATGTCTCTATAATTGTCTCGCGACCTTAATTTTTTGGCTAATGACCTTTGCCATCGATTGTAGGTCAGACGTCAAAAAATATTTTCATTGCACAAGTATGAATGTTCGTTTTTATTTCAATATATTGTGAAAATGAAAAAGGCGTCTCATGTTGCAGTTCGCAACAGCGATCCATTCACACAGTAATATCACTCGTTCTTCGGTCGGTCTCCATATCAGCGTTTCATCACGGGGATCAGATCCAGTACGATCAGCTTCCTGGCCGGGCGGTGAAGGATCCCGTGCTTCGTTTTCACTAGGGCAGAGCGGACGTGACCGTCCTCAGCGCGTACCACTTCCAGTACCTTTCCTCTCGGCCACAGACCACGTGGGCTCTGCGGGTCGACAATGATTACTACGTCTCCGGCTTCAATGTCTCGCTCACTTTTGTTCCACTTTGGCCGTTTTGCGAGCGTTGGCAAATACTCACGAACCCATCTCTTCCAGAAGTGCTCTGACAAAAGTTGAGCGTGTTTCCAGCGCTTCCGCAGGTCGATGTCGTCCTCGGCAGGTGTCCCATGGGGATAAGAAGGAGACGGCCGCCCGATCAAAAAATGGAACGGCGTCAGGGGTTCTTCATCATCTGGGTCTACCGGTACATGGAACAGCGGGGTGGAGTTCAAGATCTTCTCGACCTCGCATATCACCGTGCTGAGAACCTCAAACGTCGGCCGTCGCTCCTTCAATATGACACGGAGCGTTTCTTTGACCGTGCGAATGTTGCGCTCCCAAACTCCTCCGGCTTCAGGATCAGCTGGTACATTGAATCTCCAGGTGATGCCGTCCAAGCTGAGTTGCTTGGTAATCTTCTGATGATTGAGACGCGCGAACTGATCCTTTAGCTCCTTGTTCGCTGATTTGAAACTGCTTGCGTTATCTGTCCACAGCGTCTTCACGTTCCCTCTTCTTGCTTGAAACCGCGCTATAACCATCAGGGTAGCGTCGGTGTCCAGTCTCTCAGTGAGCTCTATGTGTACAGCCTTTGTCGCCATGCACCGGAACAGAGCTCCCCAGATCTTGCCTACGGCTCGTCCTTTCCTGATCTGCATCGGACCGAAAAAATCCAGTCCCGTCGCACGAAACGCTCCACCCAACATGGTGACTCTCGGCAGGGGCAGAGGTGCCATCTGCGGTGCTGCAGGCTTGGCCTTCCTGATCTTGCACAGCTGACACTGAGAGACGACCTTCCTGATCTCCCGTGCTGCCTGTGGCACCCAACACCGCTGTCGTAATTCAACGAGAACGGCGTCGTGAGCGCGGTGAGCCATCTTCTCATGGATGTGCTGTATTAACAGACGTGTGTACAGGTGAGCGCGTGGTAAGATGACTGGAAATCTAGCAGATGTACTCATTTCCGGAGATCGTCTTGTCCTTGAGTCTAGGCATATCAGCCCATCCATCAGTGTGACTGTCAGCGCTGACAGAGGGCTCTTGGGATCCAGGGGAATGCCGGCCTTCAGATCGCGCAGCTCGGCTGCGTAGACATCTTGCTGAGCCAATTTCATCAGCAGGGCTTCAGCTTCGACTTCCACGGACTGGCCATCTTCTGCTGTAGCTTTGATTCCATATTGCCTTTTTGCGCGATTTCTCCATCTCAGGATCACCGAGACGGTCCGAACTGCTGTACTCCACTTTGAGAATCTTGACAGATCTGGCATTGCAAGTCTGATGTCTGGAACTGGGAACTGAGCGGCATCAACCGTGAATACAAGCTTGGTCTCCGGATCATCTTGCAGAATATCTTGAGGTGATGAGTTCAGTTCCTCTGGCCACGTGTCACGTGTTTCACGCAGGAAATCGGGACCTGTCGCCCAAAACCCGTCTGGATGCAGGTCACGCAGCCGGTGACCCCTCGAGCCACCATCAGCTGGATTCAGCGCTGTCGGTACGTAGCGCCACTGCTTGGCCGACGACCTGTCGAGAATTTCGGCCGTCCTGTTGCTCACAAAGACATGGTATCGTCGATCTTGCGCTTTGATCCACGCCAAAACGTTTTTGGAGTCGGACCAATAGGTCACAGCCGTCCAGTCGAGGCGACTTTCCTTCCGGAGCGAGCAGACTAGTCTTGTCGCCAAGACGGCTGCCTGGAGCTCTAGGCGAGGGACGGACAGCGTCTTCAGCGGCGCGAGTCTGGACCGTGCTGCGACAAATGTAGTGAAGACTTGAGAGTTGGACGTCCACTTGTAGTACACGACCGCAGAAAATCCGTCTGTACTCGCGTCACAAAATGCGTGTACTTCTACGGCAGTGATTTCGGCATCTTGTCGAAAATAATGTCTGGGCATGTCTACGGAGCTGATGAGAGCTAGCTCACGGGTCCATTCTTCCCAAACTTTCCTGTCTTGTCCATCAGGCTCGTCTTCCCATCCTTGACGTTTTGCCCACATGTTTTGCAGCGCCTTTTTCACTGGCAGTAGCCACCCGGACAGGTAGCCCAACGGATCGAAGACGGACATCACGACTGACAGGATATTCCTCTTCGTGGGCGTCGGAGTCGTCAGTTGGGCACTGTATGTGATGACGTCAGAGCTGGGCTTCCAGACCGTGCCGAGGGTTCGTTGTGAGTCGGTCACACCCAGTGTTACATTTTCTTCGAGTGATGTCTCGTTCCCCGACCCGTCCTTCACCACTGTCGCAGAGTTTGAAGTCCAATCACTCAGTTCGAACCCTCCTTGAGCCAGGGTCGACGTCATGTCTTCAATGAATTTGATCGCCTCATTTTCCGTGTTGACGCTGTATATGATGTCGTCCACGTACGTACAGTTTTCAATAGCGTCCATCACGTGTGGAAGTTGGCTTCCGAATCGTTTGCCCGTCTCCCTGAAGCAGTATCCAGCGACAGCCGGTGAAGATTTTGCGCCAAAGATGACGACTTGTGACTCGTAAGTGTCCACTGGTCCCGTCCGGCGGCGTCCTCTCCATAGGAACCGCAGACAAGCTCGATCCTGGTCCCGCACGAGAATTTGCGAGAACATGGCCTTGACGTCGGAAGTCACGGCGATTGGCTTTTCACGCCATCTGCAGATGATTCCAGGAATGGAGTTGGAGAAGT